CTGCATGCTTGGGGTTTGTGAACATTTGAGAGAGTTTAGGAAAGTCTGTTGCATGAGGCAATGCAGGACATTGGTATGGTAAAGCCACTGTTAGGCTCTTGGTTCTGCCCACAAGTTGGGTGGGGTGGGGTCTTAGGGAATCACCAGGGCAGAGTAAATGGTGAATTGTGTTCTCCAGGAGACTCAGATATGGTGCTTACCTGCACCTGCAGGGAGAGAGCTCAGCAAAGGAACAATGGCCTCTGCCAGTGCTTCTAAGAGAAAGCTGCACCTCTACCTTTGACATAAGACAGACAATTTAGTACATTCTGATGTACCCTTTGTGCCTTTCAGGCTGCTACCCTTGTGCTTGAGCTCAAAGTGAGTGAGTCTGTCAGCAGGTGAGTTTGTGCAGACCCTGTAAGAGGAGTGCTTAGGACTCAAGAAGCCCTCCGTCTCCCTCAGCCACAACCTCTGCTGGTGTTCACAGCCAGAAGTTATGGGAACTTCTCTTCCTGGCACTGACACCGTGGGATGGGGGCCTGATATGGGCCTGGGCCCCCTTGCTCCTTAGAAGGGATTTCTTTAGCCAGAATTTCCCTACTGATTTTGAACTGCCACATGTGGGTGTGGGACCAGCTCGTACTGCATCTTTTGCTCTCTAATAGTCTTGATGTGATTTCTTCTATACGTATTTAGTTACAGGACTGCTATTCAAGTAGACTTCGGGCAGTACTCAGTGACAGTTGTTCTGTAATTTAGTTGTAACTTTGATATGGTCATGGGAGTAATGAATACAAGTACTTCACCACCTTGACCACCTTTATCAATGTTTAGTTTTGCTTTTTATTTTAACTTTTACTGTTTTGAAGTTCATTTTCTACCATCTAATTCTTTAAATTAGTTCTGTTATTTTTTCTAACTTTCTCAATTAAAATTTTAGCTCATATGTTTTTAGTCTCTTATTTACAAATAAATGCTTTTAAAGCTGTAAAATTGCCTAAATGTATCATTTTAGAATTATTTATGATGCCCTAAAAAAACTGTGCTCCCCTATATAAAAACTATGGATGGTAGTAAGATTGCAAAAACTAATTTTTTAAAGGATTCTATTTATTTACTTCTTGGAGAGAGGGGAAGGGAAACATTAATGTGCAAGAAGTACAGTGATTGGTTGCCTTTCACACGCCCCCTACTGGGGACTTGGCTGGCATCTCAGGCATATGCTCTGACTGGAATTGAACCTGTGATCTTTTGGTTTGTAGGCTGGCGTTCCATCCACAGAGCCACACCAACCAGGCACAAAAACTAATCTTTAGTGACCATTGTTTTAACATCTCAGACTGTTTAAAATTAAACAGAAGGAGAAAGCAGAAGTGTGTGAGCACAGAGAAGCACTTATTTCACAGTCCCAGTCTGCATCCCGCTTCAGACGCTGAGGTACTGCATGTAGAGATCACCACAGAAAATTGAACAACACATCAATAAATCATTTCTGTAATTTATAGACCACACCAATTTTCACATTCACCAATACGTGGTCCTAACCCCAAATTAAAATCACACAGAAAGTGAATTTCAAAGGGAGAATGGTTAGTACTAATTTTTATGACATATGATATGAATGAATTTTTCCTTACTCCTGCTAAAATTTCTTTGTATCTTTTGCTCCTGCCTGTGATAAAACAGTTTGTATATGGATGTGGCCAAGTCTGTTGTAAGACAGAATTTCCCTCCCATTGTTTTTTACTGAAGTTGTGCATCCTATAAAAGTCACTAGTTTTCTTGTAATCTTTCTTTCTAGAATGAGGAATTTCCTATAAACTTGTAGTTTACTGTAGACTTAACCAGTTAAAATTTCTCTTACATGTGGATAAGAAAAGAATTTTTTAAAAGATCATCAGAAACAATGAAAATAATTAATGATTAAAGAATTTCATTAAATGATTATTAGGCCTTAGCATAAATATTTATAAATGTGATGATGCAATGACATGTTAAACCTCTTATTTACAAAGCTGACTGTAGCTATCTGGTCACATTGGCTGAATTTCTTTTAAAAAAATCTTTTTTTTGCCATTAAAAAGTTAACAACAAGATTAAAATCTAATTAATACATTAGAAAATTATCAAATACTAACATAAACACTTTTAATATTTAACACAATTTTACTTGTTAAAATATTTCATCTTGACTCTTGAGTCAAATTACTTTTATATCAAATAATCAGGAGATGGGACACAGATGGGGTGGGGCATGATTCCCAGTACCCTACACATTTTCACAAATGGAGTGGTTTGTCATGATTCACTTACCCACCACTCTGGTCTACCCACTAATTCTGACAATACAGCCATCTCATTTCATCAATGAGAAATTCCAGGAGGTTTATATATCAGCTTGTGTTGTCCTAAGTTCATTATGAACCTTCCTCACATTTGATAATAAGGTCTATTCTTTCTTTGTTATATATATATATATAATCTCCATTCTCCTCCATCCTGCACACCCCTCCTCCACCATTCCCCCCTTTAGTTTATTACCACGTGTCTCAAGTTCTTTAGATTCTATATTTCCCATACTATTCTGGTCCTCCCCCTATTCTATTTTCTACCTACTGCCTATGGTACTTATTTTCTGTACCTTCTCCCCCCTTCTCCTCCTCCCACTCCCCTGTTGCTAACCCTCCATGTGATCTTCATTTCTATGGTTTTGCTCCTGTTTTAGCTGTCCTCTTAGTTTGCTTTTGTTTTAGGTGTGGTTGTTAATAACTGTGAGTTTGCTGTCCTTTCACTGTTCATCTTTTTTATCTTCTTTTTCTTAGATAAGACCCTTTAACATTTCATATAATAATGGTTTGGTGATGATGAACTCCTTGAATTTGAACTTATCTGAGAAGCACTTTATCTGCCTTTCCATTCTAAATGAAAGTTTTGCTAAATAGAGAAATCTTGGATGGAGGTCTTTGGATTTCATGACTTGGAATACTTCTTTCCAGCCCTTTCTTGCCTATAAGGTCTCTTTTGAGAAATCTGCTGACAGTCTGATGGGAACTCCTTTGTAGGTGACTGTCCCCTTAACTCTTGCTGCTTGTAGGATTCTCTCCTTCATTTAATCTTGGCTAATGTAATGATGATGTGCCTTGGTGTGTTCCTCCTAGGGTCCAACTTCTTTGGGACTCTCTGAGCTTCCTGGATTTCCTGGAAGTCTATTTCATTTGCCAGATTGGGGAAGTTCCTCTTTATTATTTGTTCAGATAAGTTTTCTACTGGTGGCTGTTCCTCTTCCCCTTCTGGTATCCCTATAATTTGAATGTTGGAATGTGTAAAGATGGCCTGAAGGTTCCTAAGTCTCTCATTTTTTTGAATTCTTGTTTCTTCATCCTTTTCTGTTTGCTCATTTTTTTTCCTCCTTCTGGTCCACTCCTTTGATTTGGGTCTCAGTTTTCTTTCCATTACTATTGGTTTCCTGTGTATTTCCCTTCATTTCAATTAGTTTAGCTTCCATATGTTCCTCTAATTTGTGACTAAAATCAACCAGTTCTGTGAGCATCCTAATCACCAGTGTTTTGAACTGTGCATCTGAAAGTTTGGCTATTTCTTCATCACTTAGATTTATCGACTATGGAGCTCTGAGTTTTTCTTGAGCCATGTTTTTTGATCTGTTTGTGCCTGTTACATATGAGGAACAGAGCCTTAGTTGTTCACCAGGGCGGGGCCACCTAGGTCACTGATTTGTGACACTGTATGTGGGGGTGGGATGAGAGAGAGACACTGGCAGTTCCCTCTGCTGCTTCCCACCACTGGGATCTGCGTGGTTCGTCTCACCACTGCTAGCTCCTTCACCAGTTTGTCTGCACGTGAATGTGTGACCATGGTCCACCATCAGTGGGTCCGCCCGCTTCTCCACACCTGGGATCTGCCCATGGTTGTTGGCACACCTGGGTCGTGCACCCCAGTTGGTCCAGTGGATCTTTCCTGCCCGACCCTGCTCTTCTGCTGGCTCTTCCCCTCTTACTGGTTTGGCTGAAGGGTTCGTTATTGTCAGACTTCCGAGTAGTTCAATTTTCTCTGGTTTGTCTGCATTTTTGTTGCTAAAACTTTGTTGTTTTTAAACTTGGTTGTGTGAGAAGGCGAAGTGCTTCCACCTATGCTTCCATCTTGGCAGAAATCCAAAATATTTTTTTAAATACTGCATATAATAGGTAATAATTTTAAATTATGTGTACATTAAAGAAGGTGTCTTTAAACAGAAACACACATAAAACAGAGCTGTATATTCACTAGTTGACAAAAATGATCTGACCAGAGACTCACAGGAACTCTGTGTTTTCCCTAGGAGCAGTGGATCAGCATTTATTACCTTAGTGTTGGCTTTGTCTTCAACACAACAGCCACAACCAGTAGGAATGTAGTGTGTGTACACCCCTTGCTTTGGTCTCACTTCAATCCTGACTATCGACACTGTTTTTTCTTCAGCATCTTCTTTTTGCTTCTGTGACACGCTTGCACTGCTGCCTCTGAGACTGCACCTTTATCAGTGCTTCCCAGATTTCAATGTACCTAAGGAATCCCTTGCTGATTTTGCTAAAGTGCAATTATGATTCAGTAAGTCTGAGGTGAGGTCCAAAGATATAGATTTCTACCATCTCCAAGGGGGTAACTCTGCTGTTTGTCTCTGAACCACAGTAAATAGCGAGGACTGTATCCTGCCTTTCTCTTAGTGTTTAAAATACTTGGAACAAAAATTTCACACAAACAGGTTTCTACAGTTGTAAGAATTGTTAGAGGCAAAATTGTGTTTCTCCTCAGGGACTCAGAGAAGTCACTGAGGAACTAGTAAAGTGTAAAGACTTTTAACAAAAAGCATAGAATGTCTCAATTACAACACAGGTCAGGAAGATAAACAATGAGAAAAGACTATATATTTGGCATAAACTTAACAGAGGTTTTTATTGAAAATATAATACATACAGTTAATACACTTTATAAATGATACAAACTTTAAGAAGATATGGACTTTGCTCTCAGGGAATTTAAAAATTAGAAGGAAAGGGACCTGCATAGCTGAAACACAGGATAAAAAGTATAAACACGGCAAAGTGTTCTGCAAAGTGTGGTGGGAGTTCAGACACTGCTTCCACTTGTGAATCAGGGAATGCCCCCCCCCCCCAAGAAGTGACATCTTACATGGGCCTGAGATTCATTAATTTTCCACTATGTAGAAGTTACTAGGATCTCATTTTATCTAGAGTTAACATATGAGTTTTAAAACCTCAGAACCAGGTCAGAAAGCAAATCCTGCAAAATAATGACTAGTTTATATTAATAATGGAACCTTGAATAAACGTAGGTAAAAAATAGTAAAAAATGTACAAAAGAGCATTGAAATGACATTATCACCATGCTGAGTTTTAAGTATGTTTTGAGTCCCGGGGCTGCTGGAATCTTTCCAAAGGATGAAGAGTGGGAGGAGGTTCGCAGTGTTTCCTAGTAAGAACAGAGATAAACGTTACTGTGCATGAGGTAGAGGTGAGAATTGGAGAATAAAAGGAAAAGGACTGGGAAAGAAGAATTTAGGAGAGAGAGGGGAAAAATAAATACAGGACAACAAGTAAGGAGGGTATGAAAGAAAAGAAAAGATAGATACAGAAAACTCACCAGCGCTTTTTAAGCCAAAATGCAAGACCTATCAGAAGAAGCACCAGGGGTACCATCACTGCCACGATGATCAAGCCCTTGGAGGTCGGACGGTCTGTGGGTTCAGGTGCACACAAGTGTGTCATTTCAAATCCACTGCTTGTTTACTGCATTTCCCTCACCTGCTTTTTAAAATCTGAATGTTCACCTCACTAATCTCCTTTCTTCCTGTTTCTTCTGTCATCCCTCTTCAGACATGAATGTTTCATCTAACCCTCAACATCTTTCTACATCTGCAGGTCTCTTATTTTCACCTATTTTATTTACTGATTTATTTTCATTCTTTTGGTTTTGGAATCCATAAATTCCAGATTTTTATCTGGCTCTTTGGCTCTGCTTGTGGACCATCTACTCCTACTCCCAGCGTGGACCCCAGTTTTTTCTTACCCAAGTAGAGGATGATGTCCTGGCCTTCTAGACTGCTGTGTGTCACCCGGCAAGACAGGCCAGATGTCTTGGTGGCTTCCACATCCAGGTAACTCCGAAGATACCATGTCCCATCAGCATTGGGCAAGATATCACTTTGTTGAGAGGCCTGTTGTGCCTGTTCACCTCGCATCCACGTTACGGAAATTGGCTTTGGGTAGAAGCCAGAGACATGACAAACCAGCAACAGATGGTGATGACCAGGACTGGGGCCAGTGGACAGCCAGGCCTCTGGTTTTACTGCAGAAGACAGGAAAGACATTCAGATAAGGACTCTAACACAGACTTGGGGGTTCATATCTTCATATCAGTTTAGACAGCACCTCTGTCCCACCCTGGGAATCCATCATGTATTCTCTCTTGGGTCCTTATTCTAAATTTAAAGAGATGGTAGGAAGGTATAATTTTACAATAAAAAATGATTGGAGAAAGGATATGGGACTTACCTTTTCTCTGGAGATCTGCCTTCCCTGCATCAAGGACACCCAAAAGGAAGCGTGGACATATTTTGCTGACCCTCCAGTATATCAATTTGTTTAAGATAATGTTCTTGTTGAGCATTTTGCACATCTTCTGAGCTCTAGTTCCACCCTGTAGAGATGGCACCCATGAACTGTTCTGGAAGCTCAGGATCTCTGATCCTTGATAAGCAAATCTCCAGAAGTCTAGCTTGAGTTTTCCAGAGTGCAGCTCACAGCCTACTGTACATTGTATCTCAAAGGGATCTAGAGGAGATGGATTGAAAATTAGAGGAAAGAGAGTTTAAAAAGATGAAATAAGTGGAAGCAAGAAAAAGGAAGTAGAACAGAGAAGTTTGGGGGATTTCAGGTAATGGAACAAAGTTCGGTTTGCTCAGAAATTCAGAAAAAACATAATTGGTGGTACTTGAAGGTGAAAAAAATGAGTGACTTTTTTTCCTTTGGAAATGGAAGGGAGTAAATTGTCAAAAGAAAATGGCCTAAATTTTCTCTGGTGAGAGCAAGAGAATAAGAAGGAACTTAGTGTGAGAGAATTGTGTTTACAATAACTAGGGTGAATGAAATGAATTAGGTTACAATGAATGTACAGATAGAGATTGCTAAGGACATTGAATGCGGGGGAAAATCATAATAAAAAACTCATTGAGACACACATACCCCACCTAATATTGTACCAGGTTATTTTAGGAATTGAACTTACATTCAAGCATCCATTCATTGGCATGTTTGTGAAATAAGTGTAGCAATTCATTGTGCTTAGCTTCAAGTAACTCTTCTGTTTCTGTCACCTCCTTCTTGCTCAAGTTGCCATTAGACCAAGGCCGCCGGGAAATGAAACCACGAGAGCTGCTGTTCCAGCTGTAAGTCTGCAACTCACCCAACCAGCCAGAGCCCCAACTGTGGGCCCAGGAGCGGTTGTGTAAGGAAAAAGTGCCAATGATTCTGAAGATTTGGTCCTGGAAGGCTATCAGAAAAAAAAAAAAAGATAGGAGGAAGAAAAAAAGGCATTGGGAAGAAAAGAGAATAGAGAAAGAGAGGTGCCAGAGAGGAAAATCTCAGAATCTGGAGATAAGGGAAGCTATAGTTACCTCAGCAGACATTCACCTGCCCAGAGCCCCATGCTTTATATAAGTGTTGAGCAAAAATAGACTTACAGTTGTTAGAAGAAAAAACAGTACAGTAATTAATAAATAAGAACACGAGAATAAATTGTTTCATATGCTCACAACTGTAAACCTACTTTTCTCCCACCTTGCACAACCTTCAGAAAGCACAGGGTCCTAAATTGATGCTGAAGGGATATTCAGAATGGAACTGTGCTGACATTCTCACTCTCCAGGTGTGTTCTGAGGACACCACACAGAGAAACACACACACTCACACCCTTTTGCACCCAGCTGGGCAGTTACCAGAGTTCTTACCATCTTCACTGTCACCACCTCCGAGGAGAACTGCTAGCAATGAAATTTGCAAAAACAGCATTACTGCACAGATGTTACTTCTTTCTCTCAGAAAAGTTTGTCTTTGACTTCTGTTTTAAAGTAACCTACCCCACGGTACTTCTGTCTGACTTCCTTCTTCTACCAACACACAAACCAGCACCATCACCCCCGCCCCAGTAAAAAAATCCCCAGCATGCTCCTTCCCTAAACCCTAGTCATCAGTTAGCTTCTCATTTCTCCCCAGTCCTGACTCTCCTCTCGGTCTTTCAGCATCTTCCCCTAGGTACCAGCCTTCATTCTGTTCACCTTTCTCTAATTCAGCCTCTATGGAATAAAGTCTTATGTGGTATTGAAAAGTCTTCTCATGCATACAATAAATGCATAAAACTAAATGGCTTTCCAATTCCCATCTAATGTTCTTATGTCCCTGCTCTTTTCTGTCACTCTCTCCTTCTCTTGCCAAATTCAAATAGTCTCCAAATATTCTGTCTCTGAGACACCCCACTTCATTCGTATTTCTGACATGTCATTGGTTGCTTTACTGATTTCCCGAATCTTCTCTGACTGCCTGTGTAACAGTGTAAACTACTACTCCATTATTCTTAGGGAAGAACCAGTAGCCATCACAGACATCACAGAAACTGTGAAACACATTAAGAAAAATATCTATTTGACTTGTATTGATGTATATTCATTGACCTGAGAGTCACTTGTTGCCTGCCTGGTTATATTCATCTTGCAACCCTCATGAATATGCAGTTGTCTACAATGCGCTCACTTTGTTCAAGGGGCTTTTCTTCTACTTAAGAAGAAAACACAAAACCAAGAACTAGAAATGTTGGTGTGCTGGGTTTTATTATAAATATAGACTCTAGATAAAAACAAGCCTTCTTGAAACAATATTTTGTGAAGTGGCAACTCTTAACTGTTGCCTGCTCAGAATCTGGACTTGAGTGGTTTGCTCATGGTATTAGGTCTGTCTACCTCTGTTGTACTGGGTCCCCAGCATCTAACAGAATGCCTGTTAAAGGTGCTCAGTGAATAATTTTGAATGATTGAATCATTTGGTTCAGGAATTCAGTTATTTTTTAATCATTTAGATTTTAACATACTTTTCTTGAGACATCAGAAGTCATTATTTGTACTTCTACTTAATGACATGGGCATATTGAACAGTTCTGTTTAGTTGTAAAATATATGCTAATAAGCATGAAGTTTACACAAAGGCTTATGACATAAATCTCCTATTACTTATATTTTAACTCCATGGAGGTCACAGTTAAATAAATTACAGTGTAGGTTGCATATATCCAAGAGATACATTCATTACTAGTATGTACTGAAATGTGAAAAAATTTTTTTCATTGCAAACTGCATTTATTATATTTACATAAAAACATGTTTTTAAATTTTCAGGTAAAATGCACAAGGAAGCAAAGAAATATAAAAACATAAAGTATAAACATTTTTCTTCTTAAATAACAGAAACATTAATATTGCTAAAAAAACAACCAAAAATGTCTTTAACATTAATCAGAATCTTCAGTAGTTGGCTTTGCAAAATGTTTGTAACACTCGTAACAAAAAATATTGTTGTGCTCAAGTCATAAATACTTTTCAAAACACTAGCAAAAACATTTTCAATGCATAGCACCTGACACATCTTTTTCTTTTCTGCTTGTTAAGGGAGCTATATCTATGTTGTCATTAGAATTTCCTTCAATTTATGTTTGAAATGAATGAAGTTTAAGGTGTAAAGACTTATGCAAAGCTGTAGAGCTTCCTGAACACCTGTTTATTTGTTCTGACACTGACTGTGTTATAAGATTTCTAATAAATATTTTGTGCCTTATTTTCACATTGCCATTCAGCATATGAATAGTCTGAGCATTTACTTCTAAATGCAACACAATATTTAAATAGTTTTACACAATATTCAAATATTTCTACACAATATTCAAAATGGTGTGGACTCTAACTATGGGCCATCATCTGGTGTTCCTGGCCACATTATATGTACCTATCATTTGGTTCATAGTGTCAACTACTGACTTAGTTTGGTTGTAATATTCTATTTTTTAAAAATGTTTTCTGTTTATTTTTAAATTTATTTTTAGAGACAGGAAGGGAGGGATAAGGAGAGGGAGAGAAACATCAATTTATGATTGCCTCTCACGTGTCTTCTACTAGGGACCTGGCCCACAACCTAGACATGTGCTCTGACTGGGAATCCAACTGGTGACCCTTTTGTTCACTGGGTAGCACTCAATGCACTGAGGCACACCAGCCAGGGCTGGTTGTAATATTCTGTTATGTCAGGCTTTTGTGAATCTAAATTTACAGCATCATTAAAATGCATACTTGGAATTAAAATTATGTTTTTCCCCTTTTGGATGTATGAGATACAAGTATGCAACCTGCACCAAAAGCAAATAAGGTGGATTTTTCGAGCCTGTTTTTAGAAGACAAAAGTTCAGGGGGTAGTTGGAGTTTATTCTTATGAACAGTACCTACCTATGAAAATTGCTTGTTTTTCAGGTCAGAGGTAAAGTTTATATCGATTAACCAGTTATCTGCTGTAATATTACATCCTCATGAGTAAATGGGTTCTGCAACTCTCTGGATTATATCTGCTGGTTAATTACTAATCAAGGACTTTCAGGCTGCTCACTGATATAGATTTCAATATTTCCTTTGTAAAACTTTTGAATAAAGCATAGCAAAATTTTTTATACCATATTTCCTGGGCTTGGTTGAAATATATTGTCTAAACCCACATTTGCCTCTAAATCCAGGTAATATTTCATCTGTTGTTATATTCTGTCCCATAGAGTAATAACATTTTCTACAAATGCTGAGGAAATGTTTCTCATAGACACTAAATTATCCCCTTTTAGGTATTCTAAGCAGTTAAGTTTGTCATTGAACCTGATACAATTATTAATACATCTAAATCTCCATGAAGATACCATGTCTAAAACATTCAGTCCCACCACCATCTGCGGGCCATAAATTCTGCAAGTCTAGCCAGTGGTTCTGATGTAAACCAGCTAGATATAACAGGCCTAAAAATGCTTTTGATTTGGTTTTGTCTATTCATTTAGCATCTCTTCCCCATGAAAACCAAGGTAGAATCGATGGATTTATTGGTATATAATAAGATTAGATAATGACTTCTGGCCAAGATAAAGCCTTAGGTAGATACACTGTCTCCTCACACAACCAAAAAACTACAAATACAAAATAAATAGTCCAGAATTGCTATAAAACTGAACTGTATGGAAGTCCAATAGCCAAGGAGTTAAAAAAAAAACCCACTCATTCAGACTTGTAGGAGGGGTGGGGATGGGCAGCCGGAGTGGAGAGGACATGTGGCAAGACTGGAGGACCTGCCAGGTGAGGTGGTGACTGGTGAACCAGACGGTCTGAAATTGGTGTGGGGATGAACTGGAAGGAACAACTAGGGAGTGAAATAGACTGTGCAACCCAGGGTTCCAGTGCCAAAAAACAAAGCTTTCAAAACCTCTAACTAAAAAAACCTGTGGACATTGTGGTGGTGGGAGAAACTCCCAGCATCACAGGAGAGTTTAGTGGAGAGACCCACAGGGTCCTAGAAGGTACACAAACCCACTGACCCAGGAATCAGCACCAGAAGGGTCCAATTTGCTTGTGGATAGTGGGGGAAGTGACTGAAAGCCAGCCAAGAGCTGAGCAAGCAGCATTGTTCCCTCTCTGTCCCTTCCCCATATACAGTGCCACAACCCAGCCAAGTGGGTTACCTCACCCTGGCAAACAGTTAAGGCTCCAACCCTTACAATGTAACAGGAATGCAGAGACAAAAAAATATGCCCAAATGAAAGAACAGATCAAAGTTCCAAAAATAGAACCAAGCAATGAAGAGATAGCCAACCTAACAGATGCACATTTCAAACACTGGTAATCAGAATGCTCGCAGAAATGGTTGAGTATGGTCACAAAGTAGAGGAAAGAATGAAAGTCATGCAAAGTGAAATAAAGAATAATATGGGGGGGGCAATAGTAAATAGAAGGAAACTGGGACTCAAATCAATGGTTTGGACTAGAAGGAAGACATAAACATTCAACTGGAATAGAATGAAGAAACAAGAATTCAAAAAAATGAGGACAGGCTTAGGAACCTTCAGGACAACCTCAAATGTTCCAACATTCAAATCATAAGGGCTCCAGAAGGAGAAAAGGAAGAACAAGCAATTGAAAAACTTATGTTTTTAAATATTTTATTCCTTTATTTTTAGAGAGAGGGAAAGGGAAGGAGAAAGAGTGGGAGAGAAACATCAATGTGTGATTGCCTCTCATGTATACCCTACTGGAGACCTGGCCTGCAACCCAGGCATGTGCCCTGACTGGGAATTGAACCAGCGACCCTTTGCTTCACAGGCCCATTGTGGGAGGATTTTAATAACAAACTATTTGAATATTTATTTAGGTTCACTGTACTTTTTTAAATTTTATTCATTTACTTTTAGAGATGGGTAAGGAGGGAGAAAGAGAAGGAAAGAAAGATCAATGTGTGGTTGTCTCTCATGTGCCCCAACTGGGGACCTGGCCTGCAAATGAGGCATGTGCCCTAGACTGGGAATCAAACAGGTGACCCTTTTATTCATAGGCCGGCAATCAATCCACTGAGCCACACTAGCTAGAGCTGTTCACTGTATCTTATATTTAATATTTAACACAACAAATTTTATTAATGTCAAGGTAGTCAGATGTTATCTCAGTTAAAACATTTTTAGGGAATGATTTACTTTAATCTACATTTTAAAATGTATTGTCATAAAGATTTGTGTACTGGATACATCTTTTTTTATTAATTAATTAATTATTTTAAAAGATATTTTATTGGTTATGCTATTACACTTGTCCCATTTTTCTCCCCTTTATTTCCCCCTACCCCGCACCACCCATCCCACCTTAGTTCTTGTCCAAGGGTTGTACGTATAAGTTCTTTGGCTTCTACATTTCACATACTCTTCTTAACCTCCCTGTGTCTATTTTGTACCTATTATTTATGTTTCTTATTCCCTGTACCT